CAGATACTCAAAATTATGTCATTTTGTTATTTCGTTATACACAACAGTCAAGACATTTGTTGTTTTGAATTTCGCGCAATGCTACACGAGGGCTATCTGCGCTAGCCGTCCCTAATTTAGCAGTGTAAGACTAGAGTGAAGGTAGCTAGTCATCACCACCCACCGCCAACTCTTGGGCTACTCTTTTACTAACGGAAAGTGGGATTGACCGTCACATGGTAACGCCCCCGCGGCTGAAAGGGTGAGCATATTTGGTGTGACTGGAATTCGAACCCGCGACCCTCAGATTGCGAGTCAAGCACCCTAACCACCTGGCCATTTGCTTATTCAAAATCGTTGTAAAATAACTTACTTAACCCTGTGGATTGTATGTTAACTTACTTAACCCTGTGGATTGTATGTCTTAATATTAGTCCTATTTCCAATTTTTTCAAGAATGTAACTACATAATTTGGACACAATGGGAATGATCAAGCCCAAAAACAAACAGCAAAAAATGGCTTGATGTAGCCCCAGGGTTAGTGTACACTGAGAGTTTGTTTGTTTGTTTTGAATTTCGCGCAAAGCTACACGAGGGCTATCTGCGCTAGCCGTCCCTAATTTAGCAGTGTAAGACTAGAGGGACGGCAGCTAGTCATCACCACCCACCGCCAAATCTTGGGCTACTCTTTTACCTACGAATAGTGGGATTGACCGTCACATGGTAACGCCCCAACGGCTGAAAGGGCGAGTATGTTTGGTGTGACGGAGATTCGAACCAGCAACCCTCAGACTGCGAGTCAAGCGCCTTAACCACCTGGCCATGCCGGGCCCACGGATAGTTTATGAATCGTATCTGGTTGCACGTTGGGGTTGTACTGACAAATCCCGCTCGTTGGTCAGTTAAGGGTAATCGAAGAGATCGCAGTGGGTACTGTTGACTCACTGCCTTTCTTAAAATTAGGAAATGTTATGCGCAAGTAGCTCGTTGTAGCTTTGCGCAAAAACATGAAACCTACAACAAACAAACAAGGCAATAATACTACAATTAAAGTATTTCTGGAGCAAGCCTTTTCTCGGAAATTCTTCGTACTTGCTGAGCAACTAATATTTTTCTTCACCAGTCTTTGAGATCTTCTAGCAGTATGTAATTTTAAATAAGTATTAAAATATCTACGCTAAAACTCAAGTAATTTAGGTACTTACTTCTGCTACAGTGATTATAGATTCGTACTCTAGGAAAGGCGAAGGAACTTTTGTCGCTTCAGTAAAGACAATGGTTGAAGGTGCAAGCGAAGTCTGAAAAAAAAACACGCACACAAGAAAGTTGGTAAAGTTTTTAAATATAAAAGATATCTGTACTCTTTCATTTCGAGAGAGCATTTGAGGTTATTTAGCTTTCATCTCTAGGTGAGGTGAATAGTGATATGTAAACGTGTATGATGATATTAGGACAAATCCCCTTATAACTTGCTAAGATTTGAAGTTTGGAATAAAGGATCTCGCCAGGTCGATGATAGAGAATATCACACAATATATGAATTTAGGAAAATGAATTACAGTAGTATTTAGACTGACATATATTAACACTTCATAAATTGAAGACGTTGCTGAATTAATTTCAAAATTTAGTTATAAATAATTAAATAGTGTTTGTAGGCATTTTCACATCATATAGGATTAAATATGTCATTATTTCTTAGCCAATGTTTTAATAAAGGTTACACATAAATGAATGATGAAGAAAACCCTGTTTAACTTCAAGGAAAACAACTATTTTTGAATATAATTCAAATTAAAATAATCCTCTATTGTAAGGAGTCTTAAACTTCAAGTTTTAATTTAACTGAATTGCAGTCTAATTAATTAAAACTTGGATAAACCAATGAAGCAACTGCAATAAAATATAAATTACTCTGATGAAACATTTTTCTGGGTAATATATGATATTTTCCGGTGTCACAAACAATTACTTACTTACCTTGCTTCCGTCCGAAATGAATATCGTGTATTCGTATTGATTTCTCTGGAAAATATAGAGCACATATAACGTTTTACAGTAGAGTGTCATATGAAAAATACAGAACATTTCAGCTTTTTAAAAAAAGATAACTATTTTATTTAGTGCCTTAGGTGGCGCTTTGGTTAGCAATGATAACTAAGACATTTATAACAGTAATATCATATAAAAATGTTAATTGTTTTATCAGACATGTTTGTTTTGTATTAATTATATTACTAGTGAGATTTCCTAAGTGTTAAGCGTTTTGAGAACAAAATTTACATGGAAAATAGTATTGTTAATAGACATTGGAGATGCTATAAATAAATACTATGTGAAGAGCTAGTATTGACAATGATAATAGTATCAAAGATGTCACTTAACCGTACATGTTTATATACGTATCGCTCAATAATTAGGCTATTTTTACAAGCACATACGTCAAAATGAAGTATAGTCTTACCGTTGGTGAACTTCTGAGAATGACGTCTGCTTCTGTAGGGCTGACAGATTGTACGTCGAGGAGCTCACTGGCGCCAGTTCCTCGAACAGTAAACGTTAAGACGTCATTATCGGCATCAAAGCCTCTCAGACGGTATATAATGGTTCCTGAAATTTTCACGGGCAGAAGTCGTCATTAATTACATGTTTAAATGTAGAAAAGTCTGGTTATTGGTATTATATACTGTTCCTTTTTTTAGATATTAGATCTGCCAGTTTTGTTCTGATAACATAAAATGAATCTTCATTGAAAAATTTTCTATTTCCAAATGAAATAAATAAAGTAATTTACTTATTAACATTTTGTGTCAAGGTCTGCCTTACATTTAAAATCAGATAGACGTTTGAATAGCGATTATTGCGCTAATTTTTCGGCCTTGGATAATTAATTCACGGCTTTATGCAACATAGCATCAGACGTCGCCACATGCGATAACCTATTTTAACTTCATTGTACAAAAACAAATGGTAATTAATAAAGAGTCTTTATAAATGTTTTTATTGTGAATGATCTAGTGTTATAGATTCATTTCCAACTCTGAAAGTGTATTGCAACGATACTAGTGGGACCCAAATTCAATGATATTGTTACGCCTCCGTTAGTTAGTTAATTTTCCGTAAAAATTCTTTCCGATGAAACTTTAGCGACACAAGTCCTTTCTTAAATAAAACTGGTTTATTTTTTCTGAATACAACTTTGTAATACACTTAATTTCCACAGTCGCGCTATAACAAACACTATAAGTCGCAACGAACGTCTCACGTGCTCGACTCAACAATATTCTCTCTCTGTCTGCAGTTCAATTACACAGCATTACATTCTTGCCGTCACGTCTTGACCGTCTTATATATAAAAGAATACCGAAATCTAGTAATATCCCGAGGATTCACGAAGCTTCGAGAATATGACGTGTTACTAAAGTCACGTGACCTCCGCTGTCGTAACACTGCCCCCTTCTTTAGTACTGTTCGTCCCGAACAATAGCCACTTACATCAAACCAATAAACAATTAACAATAACTTAATTAATTGCACAGAATTTACAAACACAAAATTACAATTCAACAAAGTCTCTTAATTTTACGGAACATAT